ACCCAAAGCCTTGCTCATCCTGTAATATTGCATTCTTTTCTTCTTGTGTATACTTCTAATTATGAGGGAGACATCTTCATAATATAATAATTCTGGTTATAATGTAACTGCTGGTAACATAACTCCTACATTAGAAAAGGCAGCATGCTCTAGTAATGTTGTTTTAATGTAATTTGTGTACTGCAGGAACTGACTGAACCTGATCATTTAGAATTTGATCAATGTGAATTAGTGTCTTAGAGAGATAAACCATTTGATGATTTAGAATTTGATCAATGTGAATCAGGGCCTTAAAGAGATAAAACATTTATCATGCACATTTGGAATATCACACTAATTCATGCAGCACTGAAGTAGATAATAAGCAGGCATCAATAAATAGTGCAGACAAGGTACAGAGGATCTGTTAGTTCTCTGATACAAGTCTATATAGGATATTTAGTCTTCTCCCTTTAATGGGTGAATTGTCCATAAAGCCCACTGAAGCCACAAATGACATAATTTCAAGGACTAAAGGGAGGAAGGGCAGGAAAATGCAAGAAAGATAGGTACACAGTTATTTCAAACTCTTGCAATACATTTTAGTTTAAAAGTTGAAACCGAATTCTAAGCTATCTGAATGAAGCTTTCTAAAATTCGAGACATGTTTAAAATGATTAGCAGAGCAGCTTCGTAACAATACCACAATTAGTGCTATTAATCTCACACTTTCAACTTGAAATCGTACTGACATGCAGCACATTGGTTTACACATTTAACAGAATTATAAATTTAGCAGTTCAACCTTATTTAATTCTTCTTTTACAGCCAATTAAACAAGCTCTTTAAACATTATTGCTTGAAACCCTGTCCTCCATCCTCACATTCAATTACACTGACACAAGAAGCGGCTGGTGATACCACAAGAGCATCATCTCTAGGTTTCACTAAATCATTCATAATTTATGTATCAAACCCCACACCAAAGACAGTGTTAAAATAGCTTCCATTTAGTTTAACCCCACAAGAGCATGGAAATTCACAGTTTTAAAAAGAGACTTTTACATGAAGGAAAAAGTGAAATATGGGGTAATAAAATCCATTTGCATCCCAAGTGCCCCTCACTATTTTTGCTAATTATGAAACATATCTGAATTTATAAATGTATTTCCAAATACCTTTTCTGTCTCTATACAGCAATAAACCATATCTGGAACCACTAATCAGGCTACCGCAACTAACGGCATCTTAGCTTATATACACACTACAGCTTAGGTTGGTATAAGTCAGTGGTTCTCAAACTGTGGGTTGGGACCCCAAAGTCATTTTAATGGGGTCACCAGGGCTGGCTTAGACTTGCTGGGGCTTCAGCCCTGGGCATCAGGGCTCAGGGTACAGGCCCCCTGCCTGGGACTGAAGCCCTTGGGCTTCAGCTTTGGTCCACCTCACCTGCGGTAGTGGGGCTCGGCCTTGGCCCCCCCAACCCAGGGGGCAGGGCTCGGGTGGGGTCAGGCTTCGGTCCTCTCTCCTAAGCTCTCCTCTGTTGGCTTAGGCTACATCTACACTACAGGGGGGAGTCGATTTAAGATACGCAAATTTAGCTACGTGAATAGCGTAGCTGAATTCGACGTATCGCAGCCGACTTACCCCGCTGTGAGGACGGCGGCAAAATCGACCTCCGCGGCTTCCCGTCGACGGCGCTTACTCCCACCTCCGCTGGTGGAGTAAGAGCGTCGATTCGGGGATCGATTGTCACGTCCCGACGGGACGCGATAAATCGATCCCCGAGAAGTCGATTTCTACCCGCCGATTCAGTCGGGTAGTGTAGACCCAGCCTTAGAGTGTCTGCATTAGCAGCGTAGCTGCACCCATGTAAGCTCTGCAGTGTTGCCATAGCCTTAGATAAAACGGGATTGGGATACAAACTTCCCCTTTTCTTAACTTTGCAAAAACAAAAACACCCTTGTATTTGGCCCTCTGTATTTATTATTAGCATGGATTTCAAGGAGACTACTCTCATGCTTAAAATTAAGGATATAATTCTGTCAAGAGATAGAGTCATCCTCCCCCCCTCACCCCAAACCTTACGTCCTCCACATCCCCGGTAAAATGCCCTAACCATCAGGCTATTGACTATTCTGGGATGAATCAGTCTTTCAAGTTTTTTTGCTAACATTTTCAAGAGATCTTGGTGTCATCCCAATGGGTAACAGGAAATATTTGAATGTTCTATGACAAGAAAGCCATTTCTCACCCAGATCTATTTTTAGGGTCTATTGCCAAAGTGTATTGGAGTACAACTACCACATATTGCTGACAAGATAGTTTGCCAAGATGCACGTGGGGAACCAGTAAGGGACAATGATACAGTTTGTAAAAATGGTCATCTCTGGATGACTGTAAACAGGCAACAACTGGCTTCAAAGTGTTTCAGAGAGACAAGGAAGGTGAGATAATATCTTGTACTGGTCAAAATTACTTCACCCATCTTGTCTGCCTCATATCCTGGGACCAACACAGCTACAACAACACTGCAAACAACAATGGAAGATATAGTCTGAGGGTATGTCTCCACTGCAATTAGACACCCACGGGTGGCCCATGCCAGCTGACTAGGGCTCACGGGGCTCAGGCTAAGGGGCTGTTTAACTGTGGTGTAGTCTTTCAGTCTTGGCTTCAGCCCAAGCTCTGGGATCCTCCCACCTCACAAGGTCCTAGAGCCTGTGCTCCAGCCCAGGCCTAAATGTCTACACCATAATTAAACAGCCCCTTAGCCTGAGTCCGCTGGCACAGGTCAGCTGCAGGTTTTTAACTGCATTGTTGACATACACTAAAGGTCTATTTGAAGGCAGACTAATCCACAAATCATAGAATCATAGGACTGGAAGGGACCTCGAGAGGTCATCTAGTCCAGTCCCCTGCATTCATGGCAGGACTAAGTATTACCTACGCCATTCCTGACAGCTGTTTGTCTAACCTGCTCTTAAAAATCTCCAATGATGGAGATTCCACAACCTCCCTAGGTCTTTTATTCCAGTGCTTAACCACCCTGACAGTTAGGAAGTTTTTCCTAATGTCCAACCTAAATCTCCCTTGCTGCAATTTGAGCCCATTGCTTCTTGTCCTATCCTCAGAGGTTAAGAAGAACAATTCTCCCTCCTCCTTGTAACAATCTTTTATGTACTTGAAAACTGTTATGTCCCCTCTCCGTTTTTTCTTCTCCAGACTAAACAAACCCAATTTTTTCAATCCTAGACATAACATCAGTTAATCTGTTATGCGTCCTTACATGCACATGCAGGCCAAATTTCCCTGAAATTATTTTCCTCCAATGGTCATTCACGTCTCCATTGACAATCAGGAGAAGGGAGTCTCAACAAGTCTGAGGATTTCACAATCCCATTCCCCATATTCCCTTTGCACAACTATTTTTCTGGTTAAAGGAGGACTGAATGGAATGCTTTTCACAGCTGGTTTTTAAACTTCCCAGATGATTTTACGTTGTGTGATGTTAGGTACTAGCTAGAACCCTGCTGTTTAGGCCAGGCCTGCCAACACCTGGAAGAGCCAGGCAGTACTTGACTGATTTTGGAAACTATTGTGTGCTGGAACACTGCAGGCCTCCTAACTCTGCAAATGAAGTCACTGGACATAAGTCACAATAGCTACTACCATCTACTAACGATTCCCTTATTTCATATCTAGTAACATGGATCAGCATTCATGTTGCGCTCCTTGTCAGTACGTGGCCTGGGCGAGGAAAGCTAATGATCCTGCCAGCGAACCAAATTCGGTCATGAATCCCGGTCATGTGCCACCCGAGGCACATTGCGCATACGCTAAGAAAAATATTTTTTTTTAATTAAAGAAAGGAAGGAGGGTGATAATTAGATGTTTCAAATTCAACAAAGCTGATAAAAATTAATTAGCCCCCAGTAATTAGATGGAAAAGGAGGGAGGGAACAACTGAATGAACAATAGTAATCAAACCATTTTCTCACCCCTACTTGCAAGTCCCTCCAGATCAAGACTGAAGCACAGTGTCATTCTGTGGTTCAATCAATATTTGTTTGAGGGTCAGAAATGTTTACTCCATAAGGCTGCAAGCCTGGTATCTTTAACCAGAACTGAATTAACATAACATTAAATTTAAAAGAGATTCCCAAATAATATGTAAGTGAATACACAATGAAATGGCAAACAGATCCAACCATTGAAACGTGTAGTAGTTATTTTATATTAAGGGTTTTTAAAGACTTTTATCATTTTATTAAATCTACTATAAAACAGACTGACGTCAGGGGGCAGGGTATCAGAGCTCTAGATAGGCTTCCACACTTGCACCCAAAGTATGGCCACAATTCCATAATTTTTGTCTACAGCATCTATTGGTAGATGGTGAGAGTAAAGGGTTGTAAAAGGTTATTTTCATACTCATACAAAAATGATGAATGGCACTTTCTGCTTAATGGAAGAATTGGCAGAAACTGAAAGTCCAAAGCTAAGGGTCAGAGTCTCTTTGGTCCATCAATTACTGCATCTTCATTTAACCATCCTCAGGTCTAATAATAATTCAACCTGACCTTCGCTATTAAAGGCAAAGTTAAATCACTGATTTAAATACCTTTTATGCTAAAACAAGAATGGGATGAATACTACTGAAATGCAAGGTTGGCACCCAAGTTCTGGTACTTCATTAACAAAGATGCATGTTTAAGGTGTACAGTTTTTCAAAGCATTTCTTATATAGAATCAGGCGTAAATAAATTAATGTATTACTAACTATGATGTCAATTTCTACACAATCATGGTCCATAATACAATATGGGCTGGCTACCAGCTTTCATCAAAATTCTTTCATTTCAATAACCAGTGCTGAAAAAATATATTTCATTTGCCACTTTCCAAGCACAGACTGCTAGGTCAAGTGGAGAAATTTTTTCCTAATTTAATATGAACACAACTTCATCAGATTTACATATTCAAAAGTAACGGGGGGGAGAAGGGGGAGGAGGTCTTACTTGAACCTAGCTTCCACCTCTTTGACAGCTTGTTGGTATTGCTCCGTGGTTACTTTGTAGAACTGTGCACTCTGAAAAGAGAGGAGAAATGTGAAAACTTCATGACCTAACAAATATTTATACAGTGGTGAAAACATTCCTGGCTCTCTACAGAATGTGTAAAGAACTCAGGTCCCCACACCGAACATCTTACGTTATAATTCTAAAAAATAAAAGGTGGGATAACCATTAAAGTACAAGACAAAGCAGAAGCATTATCGGTGAGCAGTTAACTGCAGAGCTAGAATGGAAAGTTTTCTTACCCAGAGAAAATATTCTATATAGAAAAATGGTTCCATCCCGACTTGGGAGTCAAGTCAAAATTTCAAAAATGTTCACAAACCAAAAATCCAAAAAAATTTGGTTCGGGTCAAAATGTTTCATTTCAGTTTTGACTTTACTGTAGCTTAAATTTCTAAACAAAAGCCTGTTTCAAGTCATAAAACTGGAATTTTTCATTTAGAAAATGTTGAAACAAAACGTATTGACTATTTAGAAACTTCCTCAAATTTTTCGTGTTAAAAAATTAGTAGAATCTGACTCTTTCCCCAAAAAAAGTTTGTTTCAACAAATTTGCATTTTCTGATGAAAAAGCTTTTAGTCAAAAAAATTCTGAACCAGCGCTAATTCTTTGTATAGTAGGAAAGCTGCATGAAAAATCGGTTTTAAGGAAGAATTGGAAGGAGGAGGAGAACTGGAACACAAATCAGGAGGCTGTTGCCATCATTGAGGGATTCATAATTTTTACATGATTGGATAATCCATAAATGGAATCCTCATTGTTGTGTATGTATTTACACTTCTGTACACTCAGACTTCGTGTGGAGGTGATATTCATGTCATAAATTGCAGTTATGTTATAAATTAACCACTCATCCTCTGACTGTCCAATTGGCTCTTTGCTCACTAGTTCATCTCTTTCTGACTTATTCTAATATTCCAAACTTTGAGTAACTTCCCACAACTGCTATTTTATCTTTTTAAAAATCAAGCTACCTTTGTTAGATAGTTTGTCCCTTTCACCAACAGAAGTTGGTTCAATAAAAGATATTACCTCACCCACCTTCTCTCTCCAATATCCTGGGACCCACAAAGCTACAACATTGCAAACAACATATGGTAAGAGACCATTCAAGGTGAAGTGGCCCACTAACACCTCTGCAGTCATAGGACAAAAAATGGGGCTTAGCGGGTAACAGATTGTTGTGAAAAGCCATAAATCCAGTGTCTTTATTAAGACCATGATTTGAAGTGTCTAACCAAGTTATGAATTTAAACTTGTAGGCTCGTCTTTTGAAAGAGTTGTGCAGGTTTCCATTGAGGATGAGGACTGAGAGGTCAGGTAAGGGTGATGACTTTGTTTAAAAAAAAAAAGAAAGAAAGAAAGAAAGAAAGAAAGAAAGTGTTTTCCACAAGTGATATGGGGAGGTTGCTGACCTGTATATGTGGATTCTTCAAGATGTTTGGTCCTTAGCTGTATTCCACTGTGGGTTACACATGCACACCATGTGCCCAGACTCAGAGAATTTGAAAGTAGTGCCTGTTGGTTGGCACATGTGCCCTAGTTCACCTCTTGCCTGGGTTCAAGGGGATAAAGGGCAGGGTGGACTGACCTACTCTCCAGTTCCTTCTCAACCACAAATCAGATAGGATCCGAAGCAGAGGGGAAAGAATGGAATACAGATAGGGACCACACATCTCAAACCTCCCCTTTTTCTTTGAGCGATGGTCCCTATTGTATTCCACTGTGGGTGACTGACATGCAGTACCTATGTAGGAGGAGAGTGCAAGGATGTAGATGATAAGCTGAGTGGAGGACTGCCATTCCAAAGGAAGCATCAGCAGAGGAGTTCTGCACCACAGCGTAATGTCTCGCAAACGTATGAACAGAGCTCCACGTGGCTGCTTTACAGATGTCCAGGAGGGGTACCACAGTTGTTGCTTGTGCTCTGGTAGAATGAGCTCTTACCCTGAGGGAAGGGGGAAGATTCAATAGCTGATAGAATAGAATGCAGCCAGAGATCCATTTGGAGGTTCTCTGGGTGGAAATGGCATGCCCCTGATTCTTTCTACTATAGTGATGAATAGTCTCTGAGATTTCCTGATTGGTTTTGTTCTTTGAAGATAAAAGGCCAAGTCCTGCCGAACATAAGGGAATGGAGACTTAATTCCTCGGTGGAAGCGTGCGGTTTTGAGAAGAACACAGTAAGAGAACCTACTGGTTAAGGTGAAATTCTGAAACTACTTTAGGAATGAATTTAGGGTACAGATGCAAATAAAACATATCCTTATGGAACATAGTATATGGAGGATCTGTCATCATTGCTCCAAGCTCGCCAATCTTTCTAGGTGAGGTGACGGCTACAAAGAAAGCGACCTTCATGGAAAGGAGAGACATGGAGCAAGAGGCTAAAAATTCAGTTGGTGGGGGGGCGGGGGAAAGGCTTGTGAGTACTGAGAGAACAATGTTTAAGTCACACTGGAGAGTAGGCTTCTGAATAGATGGGAAGATTCTGATTAAGTCTTTCCATGAATGCCTGAGAAGGTGCATGTCATGCACAGATTGCCACCAGGTTGACTTGTAAGGAGCTGATGGATGAGCCTGATGTCTCCAAAGAGAGGATATAGTCCAAGAAGAGAGGAATATCTGCAGTTTCTGGAAGAATGTCCATTTGACGTGCCCAAGAAGAAAAGCTCTTCCACTTAGCTAGGTAACATCTTCTAGTAGAGTCCTTTCTACTACTAGAAAGGATACTTCCTTTAGAGCTATGGTTACTGCCATCACCCTGTGCAGGGAATTATGGTTCCCTAGGGAGGCCCAGAATACCAATAAGAACATTCTCTTTGATGAATCACACTTTTTCAATCAGAAGATGGATGAGTCCCTCCCTACCCTGAAGGACTCCAGAGCTACCTTCCACTCACTGGAGATAAATAAATTAATGGAGATATCCCATCTCCTAGAACTGGAAGGGACCTTGAAAGGTCATCGAGTCCAGCCCCCTGCCTTCACTAGCAGGACCAAGTACTGATTTTGTCCCAGATCCCCAAGTGGCCCCCTCAAGGATTGAACTCACAACCCTGGGTTTAGCAGGCCAATGCTCGAACCACTGAGCTATCCCTCCCCCCTGTCCCCAAGAGGAAGATTTACTGCCCATTGTTCAGACCTAAGCATATGGCTAAGTAGTTTTTCCATCAGAGGCCCTATGAACTATCACGCAAGAGACAGAGGGTTCAGAAGTCCTGCTTTCCTACACCCTCTGCAACAGGCTTTACATCCCAATCCTTGACTCGACATTATTTTTGATGGGAGCTTGAGAGCTGTGAAACACTAAGGCTATCTCTACAATAGTGAGCTTTTGTAAGCTGCACCAATGTAGCTGCGTCGCTGTAAGATATCTAGTATAGCCGCTCTAAGCCGACGGGAGAGAGCTCTCCCATCAACTTAATCAATCCACCCCTAACGAGCGGTGGCAGCTATGTCCACACCAGTGCTTATGTCAGTGTAATTTATGTCACTCATGGAGGTGGTTTATTCATTCCCGAGTGATATAAATTATACCAACGTAAGTGATAGTGTAGACATAGCCTAAGGCCAACACCTCTCAACCCCCCCCCCCCCACCACCATTTGGGGGTCATCTAGCGCTCTTTTTCAACACCTGGAGTGCAATAACAACAGACATGTAGGTACTGATCGTCATCCATTCTGACTGTATGACAGAGTTTCCATCCCTACTTCCTCTAAAACTCACCTCCATACCCCCTTTCAGTGGCTGCTCTTAAGAGGGGGGGAGGGATAGCTCAGTGGTTTGAGCATTGGCCTGCTAAACCCAGGGTTGTGAGTTCAATCCTTGAGGGGGCCACTTGGGGATCTGGGACAAAATCAGTACTTGGTCCTGCTAGTGAAGGCAGGGGGCTGGACTCTATGACCTTTCAAGGTCCCTTCCAGTTCTAGGAGATGGGATATCTCCATTAATTATTATTATATTAGCGTATACTCAAACAAGAGGTGAACTCCTTACTGCAGCAAGGAGCGATACAACACATCCTTCCTCAATACCAAGGGAGAAGGTTTTACTGGACTTACTTCCTAGTACCCAAAAAGAAGGGCAGTTGGAGACCAATCCTCAATCTCCACCGCTTCATTTGCAAATTCAGATTTCGCATGGTCATGCTGACATCTGTAAACCCATCTTTAGAAAAGGGCATGTGGTTTATGGCTCTCCACATCAAGGAAGACTGCTTTCATGTAGACATTCATCACGCTCACAGACACTTCCTCAGATTAATTGCAGACTCTGACCGTTTTCAGTACAGCGTGCTCCCTTTTTGAAATAGCAACTGCCGCCAGAGTCTTTACTAAGATATTCTTGGCAGTAGCAGCTCATGTGTGACGTTGGTCTCATTGTCTTCCCCTGCCTCGACAATTGGATCCTTGTTGGCAAGTCCTGCCAGGAAGCCTGCTCATCAACTTCTATGTTGCTACACCTCTCCTCACTGGGAGTTAGCATAAATGCCAAAAATTCTGTTCTCTCTCCCACACAATCTCTGAATTTCATCAGGGCCACCTTGAATTCTATCACTGCAAGAGCTTACCTGCCCAAGGACAGGCTTCAGACCATGAACATTATCATGATCACAGATAACCCTTGAGTACTGGTCAAGACATGGTGAGTGTGGACGAATGAAAGAAAGGACCCACATGCTCTCCAGACTGCTCGTAACTCCAGGACCTTGATGTGCATCTATCAGAGCTTGAAAACTAGCTCTGTCCTGCGGAAGGCTGTGAGTAAACTCTGCAAACTTGGTGTAGTTCAGGATATTGAATGTAATCATTAGTGCCTGGTAACTGGATATCCTGAACTGGAGGCTCGATGATAAGATCTTTCTCCCCAACTGATCCAGACATTTTCCCTTTTTATCAGAATGAGTAGACTGAGGAGGTTGCTGTGTAGCACTTTTAGAAGCAGACTGGACTACTAGGGAGTTGGGAGCAGGGTGAGAAAACAAAAATTCTGCTCCTTTGGGTG